AATGGCTTATAATCATCAATGGCTACTTCATCAGGCTAAGAGAAGTCAATAGTCAATGGTCAGTCATCCCATGTAGCAGATCGACTATGTTCTTCAGATAGCAGAAAACTTCTAAGTTTTGTAGATCCAAAAAATCAGCTAAGTTTTGCAGTTAGCAAAAACGACTAAGTTTTGTAGTTCCAAAAATTCCACTAATAAGCCAATAAATTCATCCAGGTTGTCACATCAATGGCTTATAATCATCAATGGCTACTCCATCAGGCTAAGAGAAGTCAATAGTCAATGGTCAGTCATCCCATGTAGCAGATCGACTATGTTCTTCAGATAGCAGAAAACTTCTAAGTTTTGTAGATCCAAAAAATCAGCTAAGTTTTGCAGTTAGCAAAAACGACTAAGTTTTGTAGTTCCAAAAATCCCTCTAATAAGCCAATAAATTCATCCAGGTTGTCACATCAATGGCTTATAATCATCAATGGCTACTTCATCAGGCTAAGAGAAGTCAATAGTCAATAGTCAATGGTCAGTCATCCCATGTAGCAGATCGACTATGTTCTTCAGATAGCAGAAAACTTCTAAGTTTTGTAAATCCAAAATATCAGCTAAGTTTTGCAGTTAGCAAAAACGACTAAGTTTTGTAGTTCCAAAAATTCCTCTAATAAGCCAATAAATTCATCCAGGTTGTCACATCAATGGCTTATAATCATCAATGGCTACTTCATCAGGCTAAGAGAAGTCAATAGTCAATAGTCAATGGTCAGTCATCCCATGTAGAAAATCGACTATGTTCTTCAGATAGCAGAAAACTTCTAAGTTTTGTAGATCCAAAATATCAGCTAAGTTTTGCAGTTAGCAAAAACGACTAAGTTTTGTAGTTCCAAAAATTCCTCTAATAAGCCAATAAATTCATCCAGGTTGTCACATCAATGGCTTATAATCATCAATGGCTACTTCATCAGGCTAAGAGAAGTCAATAGTCAATGGTCACACATCCCATGTAGCAGATCGACTATGTTCTTCAGATAGCAGAAAACTTCTAAGTTTTGTAGATCCAAAAAATCAGCTAAGTGTTGCAGTTAGCAAAAACGACTAAGTTTTGTAGTTCCAAAAATTCCATAAAACCAGCCAGGAAGTCCCGTTCGTCAAAAGTCAATGAGCAAAAGTCTCCAACATCAGTGGCCTATAATCATCTAGGACTATCGGGCGAATAGTCAGCGAAAAACTTCCTAAGTTTTGTAGTTCCAGAAAACTTCCTAAGTTTTGTAGTTCAACAACTTCCCTCAATAAGCCATTTAATTCACCTAGAATTCAACACCAGTGGCTTATAATCATCTATGGTTACTACCTCGGGCTAATGAAGTTCAATTAGGCAAGTCAATCATCCCATGCCATACTTCAGTTAGCAGAAAACTTCCTAAGTTTTGCAGTTAGCAAAAACGACAAAGTTTTATAGTTCCAGAAAACTGCCTAAGTTTTGTAGTTCCAAAAATCCAGTATAGTTTTATAGTTCCAATAATCATATAAGTTTTGCAGTTAGCAAAAACGACAAAGTTTTATAGTTCCAGAAAACTGCCTAAGTTTTGTAGTTCCAAAAATCCAGTATATCTGAGCCACATAGTCCCGTTCGTCAAAAGTCAATGCGCAGAAAGCCCCCGAGTCACGTCAGCCACTGTATTTATACCCCAACATGTATGTAACATGTGTTTTGCACACGAAACTATCTGCCTAACCAATCATAGCTCACGAGCGGCTGATGCAATACCTGGCCAGTCACTGGAATCCCAGACAGGACATCACTAGTGCATAATTAATAACTGTGATGCAATGATGACATAACTTTTGCAAAAAAAATTAGCTTCACCTAACAATCACGATCTCTGTTTTTTAACACAGTACAAACATATATCTTGTAATTAACTAGCTAGATTAAGATATAAACTAGATAAATATAACAAAAACCAATCATCATTGGCTCTAATTATGGCGAAATTGCAAGGAAAAACGAGTTATTGAATGTAGGTCAACAGAGTTCTCTAATAGGAGGTGAGAAAATGCACACAAACGAAAGCAAATAAATCTCCAAGAAAAGAGTAGTTTACACTATTCCCAGTATACCTAAAGTGTTCTATACATAAATATAAGTATATAAGCTGTCAACTATGACTGGGAAACACTTTCCTACTGTCAAAACTGTCTAAAGTGCTAAAAAACGGTACTGGACTCCAAAAATAAAAAATAAAATTTTGAAAAGTGAAAAATTCGTTAGAGCTACAGAAAGTTATCACGAAAAAACATTCATGAAAATTAACAAAATGCGTCTTCTTCTATTAGGACAAATTTCCACCCCACAAGTCAGTGGTTGCCATGACAACAGTGCGTGACTGTGGCTTTGAACTTGTTCTCCTGATCTAGCTCCACCATACTGTTCCATCTATTCCCAAACATGAAAAAACATTTAGCTGGGAAGCTTTTTAACAGCGACACTGACGTCATATCCGCTGTAACTGACTTTTTTGACTACCAAGACAAAACCTACAAAACATGACAGAGGTCCAAGCGCTGCAGTACCGCTGAGAGAAGTGTGTGAACCACAAGGGGACTATGTTGAAAAATAAAAGGCTAAAAAATTCATTTCAGTTGAACTTCATAGTTAGGCTCAAACTTTTCATACGACCCTCTTATGCTGGGCTTTTACTCAAACACTGCATGCAGATCAACATTTTGACTTTCGTTAGAAGGGGGTAGGGGGGGGGGGGGGGCGGTAAGACCTAACTAAACAAGGCATTAACATCTCACCAGCTAGTTTCTCACAATATTATTTGTTCAATCTTAAGTCAGTTTTGAACTCGTAGATGATTTTTAGATGACCATTTTTGACCCTGTTAAGGTCACTGAAAGTGAAATCTCAAATTTTATGTCAGATTTGAACTTCTGGGAACTTGAAGATAATTTTGAAAAAAAATTGGGTGGGGGGGGGTTAAGACCTAACTTAACAAGCCATTAACGTGACAAAATGTCACCAGCTAGTTTCTCACAGTATTATTAGTTCAATTTTAAGTCAGTTTTGAATTTCTGAGAATTTGTAGATGACATTTTTAGATGACCTTTTTTGACCCTGAGAAGGTCACTGAAGGTGAAATCTCAAATTGTATGTCAGGTTCAAACTTCTGGGAACTTGAAAATAATTTTGCAAAAAAAATTGGGGTGGGGGTTTAAGACCTGACTAAACAAGGCATTAACATGACAAAATGTCACCAGCTAGTTTCTCACAGTATTATTAGTTCAATTTTAAGTCAGTTTTGAATTTCTGAGAATTTGTAGATGACATTTTTAGATGACCTTTTTTTACCCTGAGAAGGTCACTGAAGGTGAAATCTCAAATCTTATGTCAGATTTGAACTTCTGAGAACTGAGATGATTTTGAAAAAATTGGTTAATTTGAAACAAGGTGAAAAAATACATTTTTTGACCCTGAGAAGGTCATTGAAGGTCAAATCTCAGGTTTTAAGTCAGATTTGAACTTCTGAGAACTTGTAGATGATTTTAAAAAATTGAGACCATATCACAATATGTCACCTCTGCTTCTTGGTGTTGACATAATTAATTACGTTTTTGACGGACATTGAAATAACAACCCGGGCCCTTATTTAACCTTCTAATATAGGTCTGATTTGAAAGAAGATTAACTCTATTATATTGTCACGGCGAAATTTACAAAACAATACTCGGTTTGTTTATTTTGGAAATAATATTAAAATAAGGCTGATTTTCGAGACTTGAAAAAATGTTACGTATCGATTTTTTTCTGGATTAAATAAGTATAAAATATTTTATTTTGAGCTTGACTAAACTTGAAAAAATGTGACGCTGATCGTTTTTGACGTTGTAAGTTTGAGCCCTATGCTGATTAAAAAACCCGTTTTTTGAGATCAGCGTTTTATTTTTATTTACAAAATCATATTTCGCAGCAAATTGATTTCCTCTCAAGTGTTGTTTGACGTTACATGTAACATAAATTTTATGAACTGGAAATGAAGCCAGTTTTGCCGCGAAAACAGACCCGTGTGGACTTTTTGTCCCAGATATCATAATAAAATGAACCCCCGATAGCATAATAAAATGAACTCTTTGAAGTGTTGGTGGTACACGATCTTAAAGTCAAGTGCCGTAGCCAGGATTTGTCAGGGGGGGGTTCTAATATTTTCTGCCAAATTTGCCAAATGTGCTTAAATTTTGCCAAATTTGCTAAAGTTTTGCCAAATTTGCTTAAATTTTGCCAAATTCGCTTAAATTTTGCCAAATTTGCTTAAATTTTGTCAAATTTGTTTCAATTTTACCAAATTTGCTTAAATCTTGCCAAATTTGCTCAAATTTTGCCAAATTTGATGAAATTTTGCCAAATGTGCTGAAATTCTGCCAAATTTACTGTATGTTTGCCAATTTACCTCAATTTTGCCAAATTTGCTTAAATTTTGCAAAGTTTTCTTAATTTTGGTCTAATTTAATTCATTTTTGACAAGTTTCTAAAATTTTACTTAAATTTTGCCAATTTTACTTAAATGCCAATAATGGTTAAATTTTGCCAAAGTTTCATTGTTGCCAAATTTTCATAATTTTTGCCCATTCGCTAAAATTTAAAATTTTACCAAATTTTCTCAAGTTTACCAAATCTCAAACAATTGCAAAAGCAAAAAATAGGTAAAATATCCCAAGACCAAGTTCATTTATTTGGGCAGATTTTTTTAAATTTGGACCCAACATACCACAATTCACAGAAATTAGCAGACACAGAACCCCCTCCCCCCAATTTTCAATCGCTTGTACAACGAGCTTTATAAATAAATAGGAGCCAAAAATCAGTAAACAACTCTGTGTGAGTGATCTTAATACTTGCTCTCTGATCTAACTACAGCATGAAAAAATAAGAACGTTGTAAGTAAGAATTTTCTAGCGTTCACAATTTTGGTGCATCACGGCCCAGTGTCACTAAACATTCACATGTTCAAAATTCTCTGCAGATTTATATCAAAAATTAGACCATTTCGATGTTATGTACAACAATCAGATAATTTCAACTTGGTAGGTATGCTTTATTTGTGCATTTTAATTCATTTTGAAGATATTACTTCAGTATTTCAGGCGTAAAGTGCAAAGAGCATACCTATTATCGCCCATTATTGATTAGAAGTTTTTTGTTTTTCTGTTTTTTTTAAATCTTTTTTACTCAAAATGAAACTATAAATCTCACATATTTCCATCTTGACATATAACTCAATTGTCTTTGGGTAATCAAAAACGATAAATTATTGAAAGACTGCAAAAATTTTACTCAAAGTTTGGAGGTTTGCATAATTGCCAGAAAGGGTGGGTTCGAATTTTTTTTAGGCAAGATTGGGGGGGGGGGGGGGTTCGCACGAGCCCTACGAACCCCCTCTCCCTACGGCTCTGTTAAGTGTTGCCTTTATTCGGTAAATGTTGCATACATATAATCTAAATCGAGTAAAACAGCTTTAGAACATATTTAATGAATGTCGGAAGAATGCCATCTATAGGATGGTCAAATTGCGGGAATAGTCATACCATACATGTCATCATCATATCACATTTCATATTTCCGTGAAACGGGAGTGTGCAACAATAGTCTATGTGCACTAACTATAAATAAGCGTTGACTCGCAAAATGAGAAAACACCTACAGCAAACACAGGACGTGAAAAGATGGAGACATTTGGAAATATTACAAGTGTTAATGAAACTACAGAATTCAAAGTGAATTATATAGTATCTTACAGGGAAAAAATAATAAACTACGTGATTAGCAGTTTAGGATTTCTTGGCAACTTTCTTGTCGTATTCATATTCCTCAAGTCTGGGCATCTCAGAAGAAAGTTGAGCAATATGTTAATCATCAACCAAAGTATGATCGACATGTTCGCATCATTGTTTATCTTCCTTAGTAAGATACTTGATGGTATGGATTGGCCATGGATTACTGAACCAGGACCAACTGTGACAGTTTTCTGTGTAGTTTGGTTGTCGGAGTACATCCCCTGGGCGTGCACGGTTGTTTCAACCTTCAACCTTGTTGCGATAACTCTTGAGAGATACTTCGCTTTGATCTATCCAATGGTTTACAAGAGATACATTTCAAAGAAACATATCTTGATTGTTATCATATCGATGTGGATCCTTGGCTTCATACAGGAACTTTACCTCATTGGGAGTACTAAAATGGTTGGCAAGTTATGTTCAGTGGCGGCAGAATGGCCGAGTGAAATAGCATCAACTGCGGTTGGTATTTACGCTTTCGTTATTGAATACTTCATACCTATTTGCATCTTTCTTTTTTGCTATACCAGAATAGTTATGATGATACATAACCAGGCAAAGATGCCAATAGGATCTACAAAACGAGATAAACAAATTGCAAGGAGCAGAATTAGAGTGATACGTACGCTTATTCTTGTCTCATTTGGATTTTTCCTTTGTTGGTCATGGACCGCGATTTATTCTCTTCTTTACTCCACCGGTTTAGTAGACATAATATTTACTGGACTTTCATATGAGATTGGTGTATTCGCAACATACACAAACTGTTGCATCAATCCATTTATCTATTCATTTTCCAATCCTGAGTTTCGAAATGCTATGAAAAAAGTATTTACCAATTGTTGCAAAAGGCGCGCGTGATGGACATAGTTCGTCAAGAGGCTCTATAAAGTAACCAGCTAAAACTATATACATTAGGATGGAGACAAAAACGTTCCCTGATATTTATGAGACAACTAGGCCTATTAAATGTGTCATTTAGCAACTTATACCCGGTGTTTTATATGTCATTAATATTCGGTTGAGTTTACGAATTTTCACGATCACTGTATGCTGAATAGCTGCTTTGTAAATAAGACTGTTAGGTTTATACATTGCTTTTGGCTGCAAGAGACTCTTCACTGGGCTAAGACGTTACGCATAGTCGCACACGCAAACAAAACGGACAATCCAGCCATGTTAGAAAACGTGTCCAAGCTTACATCTGAACAATTTCAAAGTCCAAAAGACATAAAGGAAAAAATGAAGGAACCGAAGACTGGTGACAGTTTCATATTTAGAAAGAATGGCCGTAATGTACAACACGATTTCAGAGTTCAAGCCGCCAAGAAAAGAACCCAGAATCCCTTGGAGAAAGCATTTATGTAGACGGCGAAGTTCAACGTGGGTTTCTACAACAGGCACATGAAGATTAACAAGAAGGTATTGATTTGATTATTTATCTTGGCGGACATGTCCGACGCCGGTTGGAAAACAGTAGAATATAATATAATAAAGTAAAACAAACTCTTGGTAATGATTCAGATGATGATAAGTGTTTAAAGTCAGCCGATAGTGACGCAACGAAAAATTTCAAATCAAGATACTCGCAGTTTTAATTTCAGATACGGGGTCGCTACTCATATTATCCGACCTACAACCGAGATAAAGAAGGGTACCAGTATGGCCAAGTTAGAGGCTACCAAGGTAGATGTTGCCTAGTGCGGGAGTTGGGTCACCGGGCCGACACGTGACAGCAAAACCGAAGATCCCAACAACTGAAAATAGTATACACGCCAGTGCATCCATTGAACAGTTAAGAATGATCTGATCTGATCAAACGAGGTTTGGCAATAGATTATTTGTCAAGGGAAATCTGAAAAACGCAAACTTATTGCTAGACATTGATGCAAACAGTTTTTCTAGATCAAATAGGATGTCTCTAAAAAATAACAGGTCCGCCTTAGAACACAAAGATTTTGTGACAAATGAAACTAAAGATCTTATGACTTAAGAGAAAACCCAGGGTTCAAATGATGACGTACGTCTGTAATGTAAATCTGCATTGAGATGACTCACCGTCCTAATTAGTCCAAATCGACAAACAAAAATGGCGGATTCAAAACTTTCTAATAACGCTTCGAATAATATCATATTTGTTTCTGGTGTGTTAATGTTATTTCACATCAAGGTAAAGAAAGATGTAAGGAATATGCTTACATCGATGAAAACATCACAATTGTCATCATCACAAGTGTTTACAGTTATATTCAAAAACTAACTGGTGAGAATTTGCGCAAACGAAGCTGGTACAAGAGACTTTACATGTCTATCATCGCTATTAATGAAAGCTCTGCACTGGTGATCCGCTCGATTACGCTGGTTACCGAAACGGATCGTTTCTGTAACCAGCGTAATCGAATGGACCACCAGTACTCTGGGGGTTTCCCTCCTCTTATGTGTAGATGATACCTAATGTGGTATGCGGTGCTCAAGCTGCGTACCTGGTTGACACTGACATTATGGCCTACTTCAAAATGGCAGGCGCGGAAGACATGGCTCTTAGAAGGATCCAGAACTATTTCAATATAAGGGTCCTTGGAAGCTTTTGTGTTAAAATGTACAGTGTTGTGTCACATGTATATCTGTTTACAGTCATTTGCCGTTTACTTAGCCATTGTGTTTGTAACTGATGAAATATATGATTGCTGGATCTGGTTTAAGTAATAGTTTGTGTGTAAAACGATAATAAGCCATAAACTGATTTAGAATGTTTTCTTCCAAACTGAGTTGTACATGCACGTGGATTTCCCAGACAGCGTGCCTAATATTTGCAAACTGCGTGCATATCCAAGTTTGTAAAAACTTCCCGAGCCTTTCCTTTTATCAAAAGAAGCCGAAATTTCCTCGATTTTCTGTGCAAAAATGTTAAATGCAGGCCTAGATGACAACAGTGACTCCCAAACCATAATAACCCCTTCAGATTTAAACACTTATCGGGAACGCACAATTTTACTTTATAAACGTGCATCTACATGCTCCGTAAGATTAAAGCTAGTACACTAGTGATCCACTCGATTACGCTGGTTACCGAAACGGTTTGTTTTGGTAACAAAATGTCGGAAAATCGAAGGTACGATTTTTATTTTTTCCTTATTTCACACGTTGTTGGCAGAATTCCCACGACATTGTTAACACAAACGTGTATCAGTATCATGTTTAAGAAAATGTACAGTACATATATGCGAACAAATAGTTCAGAAGACGACAGAATCGTCGATTTGATTCCTCACTTAAGTTACATAAACGGTTTTTCGAAAAACAGTTAAGATCTGGACTTTTAACCCAAACCGTTTACGTAACTTAAGTGAGGAATTAAATCGACGATTCTGTTGTCTTCTGAGCTATTTTTTCATATTCTATTCCGAAACATTGGATGGGAGTTCGGGCTCAAGGCACATTCGAGTTGACAACTCGCATTTCTGATTTTTTAAATTACAATGAATACTTGAATATTTATTAATCTCCACCCGTCCTAAATTGTAGCATTGCTCAAATATCTTTTAAATAATAACGTAATCAGAAAGCTAAAAGTCTTCCAAATCAAACACACACGAAATAAAACATGAAATCTTTCAAGTATTCCCGAGATTAGTTTTTAACCTACATCACACCTGCATCTTAGTTTTTGCTTCAAATCAGTTAATACACCCCCTGGTATAAGTGTGGACAATTTTTTGAAGCTATGATGAAATGCGTGGACAAAGCCCAGCAAATGGAGGTCTTGGAGTGAAGGTATGTTTATATTTCATATCTGAACACTTTGTAATGCCAATGCAATAAATGTTTGGATGGTGTTTCAATGAACACCTATAGCTTCAATGAAACCCTAAACATGCATGGTCAACTTATATTGTAATTATTATGAAATTGAAAGTTAAATGCGACTTTACAAAAAAATTGAGATAGTTTTCTTGAGTATTTTTTGGAATTCTCCTTCGTTCCTAGTGTTTTGGGCAAGTAAAGAACTCCCAGGAACGTCCCATGACGGTACCTGTAATAACCCATCGCTTATATTCCCAAATATATGTAACTGTTGGAATTTATGGATGATTTGTCGATATTTTTCGTGTATGGACAATGTTGTGATGTAAACATGTGCGAGTGCATTCATATATTAATCATACATCTCATACCAATGCCTCTCTATCGTTTCAAAACATTTACCCAACGTATCGGTCTCTGTTAAATTATGGCATCCATAATTTTTT